CACAGTTTCTACATCCTGCATCTGCATTTTAAGTTTCTTCTTGTAACATTCTGTATTCTTTATTATTGTGAGATTTGTCTTTAGGATTTTAAATAGTTCTATTACAGACAGCTCTCTAAGAGAAATATGCTCAGCTTTAATCTGCAAAATGCTTAGTTGTAAGCTTTAAGCTGTTTGGTATATATTGTGTTCGTGCTACCAATTCAGAATTAGTATATCAAATAGAATAGATTTGTTTGTTTGTTTGTTTTTGTGCATTTATTGTTTTGTTTATATATATATATATATATTTATATTTATATATATATATATATATATATATTTATATTTATAAATAAATATATATATATATATATATATATATATAATTTAAACTTTTGTATAAGTGAATTTTGTGTGGTTTTTGAGTTTTATACGTCACACAGTAGAATATATATTCTTTGTCATCTACACTATGTATGGCCCATGAGTTCTTAGGTGTCCATGTCAATTACTGAAACTCACAGAATCAGACATGAAACTGTGCAAGCCACAAAATGCTTTAGCAGTCAAAAGTCTTTTCCGCTAATCTACAACATACTGACATGCTGTTTAGCAAAGCTACAGGTCACCTGTCCATAATGCTTAAAGTTCTGAAATAAAACATACTTGTTGAACCCAAACACTCATGAGGTGTCAGTCATTGATGGCTAAACCACCACACATAGCGATTTTGCCATTTCTAAAACTTTTCCAGAAACTTTTTTTTTGTAGACATTTAAAAAAAAAAATATGTCCAGACAACAAGACAATCTAAGTTTATTGGCCTAAGTGGTTTATTGGTTTATTTATCTAAGTAAAGTATCTTGTTAAGTCATATCCAGTGACACTCATTCCAGCTTAGTATTTAAATGCTGCAAGGAAAGTACCACTATCCACCTGAAATGTAAAATGTAAAAAAACTTACCAAAAAATTGTGTTACAAGCATAATAAATTTAAGTTGTTGTTCACTAAAAATGTCTTGCTTAATTCACATTCAAACCTGGCACATTAAAGGTATAGGTCACCCAAAAATGAACATTTGCTGAAAATTTACTCACCCTCAGGCCATCCAAGATGGACTGGAGTTGTATGGATTACTTGTGGATTACAGTACTGTTTTTATCAGCTGTTTCAACTCTCATTCTTATGGTACCCATTCACTGCAGAGGAACCATTGGTGAGCAAGTGATGATGATGATGATGATGATAGATACTTTATTGATCCCCGAGGGGAAATTCAAGTATCCAGTAGCAACATTAAAACAGACAACAAAGCATGCATAAAAAAGTATAAATTTAGAATACAAAATAAAAAACAAAAGAGTACATGTACAAAATAAACATAAGTGCATGAATGGAAATACTAGCGTTAGATGCTGGGTACCAGCATCAAATATGCAAATATACAGAGGTGTTTACGATGTGCAAATATGTAATACAATACACTATAAAGTGTAAGAGTCAAAATCCAGGTATTTAAAATATATAAAAATGTAATAAAAATACTGTAAAGATGATATAAGTCCAGTATAAAGATAAAAGTATATAGATGGCATGGGACATAAAAGACGGCAGTGCTCACCAATTCTGTGTCCATCAATCTAGAAAGCCCATTAACAACAGTCCAGTTCAAGTCTTGCTCACAAGGAAGAGTTGAAGAGCCGTACAGCCTGAGGGACAAACGACTTCCTCAGTCTGTCTGTAGAGCAGGGCAGGGACAACAGCCTGTCACTGAAGGAGCTCCTCTGCCTGGAAATGGTTTGGTGCAGAGGGTGGTGGACATTGTCCAGAATGGAAAGTATCTTGCTGAGGATCCTTTTCTCAGCTACAGATGTCAGGGTGTCCAGTTCAGCACCAACTACTGATCCAGCATTCCTCACCAGTTTGTCCAACTGCGTGGTGTCCCTCCTCTTAATGGTGCCTCCCCAGCACACCACAGCATAGAAGAGAACGCTGGTGATGACAGTCTGATAAAACATCTGCAGCAGCTTCTGGCAGATGTTAAAGGACCCCAGCCTCCTCAGGAAGTAGAGTCAGCTCTGTCCCTTCCTGTAGAGGGCGCCCGTGTTTGGGGACCAGTCCAGTCTGTCGTCTAACTCCAGACCCAATTTCTGTGGTTCTGGACCATCTCTACGCAGACACCCTCAATGGACATAGGCTGCAGGTGGGGTCTGGGCCTACGGAAGTCGACCACCATCTCCTTGGTCTTGGTGGTGTTGAGCTGCAGACTGTTAGACCTGCACCATGCCACAAAGTCCCCGATCAGGCTCCTGTACTCCTCTTCCTGTCCATTCCTTATACACCCAACAATGGCCATGTCATCAGAGAACTTCTGCATGTGACACAAGTCCGAGTTGTATTTAAAGTCAGAGGTGTACAGGTTGAACAGGACCTGGGAGAGCACTGTTCCCTGTGGGGCTCCTGTGCTGCTAACCACAGTCTGAGAGGTGCAGTCGGACATACTGAGGCCTTCCAGTGAGGTAGTCTGTGATCCACCTCACCAGGTAAGAGTCCATACCCATCATTTTCAGCTTGTCCCTCAGTAGCGGAGGCTGGATGGTGTTGAAAGTGCTGGAGAAATCAAAGAACATAATCCTCACAGCGTTACTGCCCCTGTCCAGGTACGAGAGTGACTGGTGAAGCAGGTAGAGAATGGCATCCTCCACACCCTCTTTCTCCTGATAGGTAAACTGCAGTGGATCAAGTGCATGTTGGACCTGTGATCTGAGGTGGTGTAACAGCAACCGCTCCATGGTCTTCATGACATGGGATGTTAGGGCGACGGGCCTGTAGTCATTCAGCTCCTTGGGGTGCAGTCTCTTCGGAACAGGAACGATGCAGGACATTTTCCACTGCACTGGAACCCTCCCTACTCGCATACTCGGCTTATAGATATGCTGTAGGGGGTCACCCAGCTCCAGAGTACAGGCCTTGAGTAGCCTGGGACACACACCGTCAGGCCCGGTTGCTTTGCTGGTGCGTAGCCTCCTCAGCTCTCCACTCACCTGCTGTAATGTTGCTGATGTTGCTCTCCCCAGTGGGTGTCGGAGGGGGGGAAGTGTCAGTGGATAATGGGGAAGGTGGTAAGGGGGTGGTTTCTTCACATTGAGCCTTGTTGATCGAGGGAGGTGCAGGGGTGGCAGCGGGACAGGTTGCAGCAGTGGAGGCAGGGCAGTCAAACCTGTTGAAGAAGTTGTTTAACTGGTTGGCCTTCTCCCGATCCCCATCAACTGTGCTCCCCCGCTTAGAGCAGTATCCCGTGATGGTCTTCATACCATCCCACACCTCTCTTGTGCTGTTCTGCTGCAGTTTCTGCTCCACATTCCTTCTGTAGGTATCCTTGGCTTCTTTCAGCTGGTCTCAGCTCCTCCTGGTCACCATTCCTGAAGGCTCTCTTCTTTTGATTAAGGAGGTCCTTGATGTTTCTGGTAATCCAGGGTTTGTTGTTGGAAAAGCAGCGTGTACAGTTCTAGTAGGGACCACAACATCCATGCAGAAGTTCATGTAGTCAGTTATGCAGCTGGTGATACCCTCAATGTCCTCCCCATACGACTCCTGCAGCATTCTCCAATCAGTAGACTGAAAACAGTCCCTCAGTGCCTCCTCAGCCTCAGGAGACCACTTCCTAAATGATACGGCCACCTCACCTCTCGTGGCAGGTGTGGGACAATTCCAACATTGGCCGTAGTCCTGAGGGCGAGCAGCCGGTCCTTCGTGTACACGAGTTTGTGGCCATTCTCCTGTTGTGGCGAATCCATATCCATAGGATATAATACATATATAATAAAAGTTAAAAAAAAGGTAAAAAACTATTAAAAAACAACTAAGAACGCGACACAAAGATGGAGCTACTGGAAAAGCCGCCTGCTTGCGCTGGCACCGGAAGTGACGTCATGAATTTGTAATGCTAAATTCCTCCAAATCTGTTCTGGTGAAGAAACTCTATATCCTGGATGGCCTGAGTAAATTTTCAGCAAAATTTCATTTCCATTTTCCCTTTGACAATTCATGACAACTCATTTGTTTTCATTACTGGAAGTGCAGAACACCCAGCACTTCCTTCTGTGGTTTCACATGGCATTGGTCCACTGGATGCAAATTTAAAGGGCGCCTATTATGCAAATTCCACTTTTACATGGTGTTTGAACATAAATGTGTGTTGGCAGTATGTGACACGCAACCATCCTACAATGATAAAAAAAAAAACGACTCATTTTTTAATCCCCATTAAACCAAATCAGGCTCATTAGACATGCCGTTTTGATTCTCTTGAGAAGTGTGACGTCACATTGCTCAGATCCCGCCCACGGCTGCTGACTCACTGCCATATTAGCAGCCAGAGACCCTACCTTGAGTGAGCAGCACACAATATGGCAGAAATGTAGCTACAGTAAAAACCACACCGTTAGTTAAGGGCATGTATTCAAACAAACGAACGCTATTAACAGCAATGATTATGTTGCGATCAAACTTATAGCAAAATTTGGTCGTTTTGTATGTTGGTTCAGGGTTGGCGTCATCTGAGGTCCTCTGAAGGGTTGGCATTGGCATCATCTCTTCTCAGCTAGTGTTCAGTCATCTCAGATCGTTGTAAGGGTTAGATCCAGACTGAAGCTTGTGTAATTCCTAGTTACCTCGGGATGACCATCCCATGGCAGAAACAGAGAATCAAACAGAGAACAATTGGCATATGCTGTTTAAACCAAGCAAAGAATGATGATGTGCATTTGATCAAATATAACTGAAGTACAAGGTTATGAGATACATTATGTGAATGTTTGGCTAAAGAGATGTGTCTTTAATCTAGATCTTCCTGAACATTATCAGGAAGGCTATTCCACGTCAACACGTGCTTGGATATAACGCGAAACCTACCGCAGGGAACCCCTAAAAGGAAGCTTACGCTTACAACCAGTAAATGACGCTGAATGGGAAAATCTTTTTCACTTTCGCTATGTTATATAGGGCTGTGTCTGATTAGAAACAGACCATACTACCAACCATCCGACATGTTGTGTCTGTTGATCCTAATTTTAAGCCTCATAAATAGAGGTTGGTCGTGATAATCCTTTTTTTACTCAATATGTATTTGACTATTTCTTCTATTTCGCATTTCTTTTCGAGATAAAACTGTATAAAGTTGGTAACCTAATAACTTGTTTTTTTTTTTTTTTCATTTCGCAGCTTATCTTTCAGAAATTGTAGCACAAGGAGACACAGTTGTTGTGTTTGGTCAGGATGCTTCATTCTCCTGTACGCTGTCAGACGCGTCTAATGTCAAACAAGTCACATGGCAGCGGGTACGTGACCAGGAACCGGTACAAACTCTGGCTACATTCAGCGAGCTCTTCAAGGATCATGTGGATGATCGATATGTCGGAAAAGTCACTTTCACCGCGGCGTCAGTTAATTCAACATCCATCGAGATCAAAAACGCAACATTTGAAGACGAGGCTTGCTATATTTGTTCCTTCAAAGTGTATCCATTCCAACCTAAACGACAAACCTTGTGCCTCGCCGTTAAAGGTAAGCTAAACCACGGAAGTCACAAACGTTTTCTCAAAAACAAAAGTATCAGCTAACAGGCAGATTTTAACCAAAATGTAGAACTATACGTTTTCAGGACTAGGGCATGTCAGTTTGGGGCAGCCTGCCACGTGTTTTAAATGTCAAATTTGATACAGTTTCCTTTGATCAAAACAGTGGTTTGATATGTATTTTAAAACTGATTTAAAATTGATTTATGAATTATTTTGCTTGTGTGGGGTGCTTTCACACCTGTAGATCGATTGCTTTGTTCCGAAACAGGGTTTAAAATTATTACAATGTTGCTTTTTGTTCTTGGTGCGGTTGCTTTCACAAGTCTAAACGGACCAAATTTGTTAATACAAGTCACGCGCAAGGAAACTGTTCTCTCATTGGTCAACGTTTCACGGTTTATTTTCCACCACGGCTGTCAACCATCACGACAACAGCTTCGCGGGCTTATTGTTGTTGTTTTTTGTAGCTGTCCTTATATTAATTTATAATTTTGAGCAGGAGTACAGGATTCATCGGGAATTTTTTTTTCAAATGCACCTACTAGGAAGAAGAGCAATAAGACGGTATTATAAAATTAAAGTGTGATTTTTTTAAATTTTGAATGGCGAAGACGTGCTCTCCCACAGACATTCACAGGTTCATTTTGAAGTATTAGCAAAACAACAAAGCTAATTCTTTTCACGGAACTTATGTAATTGCCCATTATACATTGTGATATAGCCTGGTTCCTTGGTTCGTTAGATCGGATTGCTTTCTCACTACAACCGAACCGCTCCAGAGTTCGTTTTCAATCGAGCCGGATCCGAGCGCGATTGCCGTGTTCACATATGCCCAAACGAACCGAGCTAAGGGGGGAAACGCGCCAGGTTCCGAAACAACGGGCCAGGTGTGAAAGCACCAAGAAGTGCCAACTAGCTCCAGTCTCCCCCACCTTGCCAGTATAAAGTGTACAGTATGTTGCGTTAGTAACAAAACAAGCAGTTTCTTCCAGGATAATGCAGATATGCCCAAACTGGTAGAGGGCCGGTTTGAATAAGAAGTTACTCAAAGATCTGTCTATGAATAATAATTGCATCTTAATGCAGGACCAAACAATGTGCTCAAGATGCAACTGAAACTTAAATTCAGTTTCCAGTTCTAGAAAAATGAAAGGAGTACATGCAGCCAATTATCCATTGTAATTGTTAAATAATATTTAAGTAAGCAAATACTATGTATTTAGTAATGCCTTAATAAAGAATCTTCAGTTTACATGAATAGACGAGCTTAACGTTCATGTACATTCAATTAAATTCACATTTATTTGTATTGCGCTTTTCACGATAAAAATCATTGCAAAGCAGCTTAACATGAACATTTCTACATTATATTTAGGAGTATCTTATCAGTGGTGATGTCAAGGTGATGTCCATATGGCAGAAATGTAGCTACAGTAAAAACCACACCGTTAGTTAAGGGCATGTATTCAAACAAACGAACGCTATTAACAGCAATGATTATGTTGCGATCAAACTTATAGCAAAATTTGGTCGTTTTGTATGTTGGTTCAGGGTTGGCGTCATCTGAGGTCCTCTGAAGGGTTGGCATTGGCATCATCTCTTCTCAGCTAGTGTTCAGTCATCTCAGATCGTTGTAAGGGTTAGATCCAGACTGAAGCTTGTGTAATTCCTAGTTACCTCGGGATGACCATCCCATGGCAGAAACAGAGAATCAAACAGAGAACAATTGGCATATGCTGTTTAAACCAAGCAAAGAATGATGATGTGCATTTGATCAAATATAACTGAAGTACAAGGTTATGAGATACATTATGTGAATGTTTGGCTAAAGAGATGTGTCTTTAATCTAGATCTTCCTGAACATTATCAGGAAGGCTATTCCACGTCAACACGTGCTTGGATATAACGCGAAACCTACCGCAGGGAACCCCTAAAAGGAAGCTTACGCTTACAACCAGTAAATGACGCTGAATGGGAAAATCTTTTTCACTTTCGCTATGTTATATAGGGCTGTGTCTGATTAGAAACAGACCATACTACCAACCATCCGACATGTTGTGTCTGTTGATCCTAATTTTAAGCCTCATAAATAGAGGTTGGTCGTGATAATCCTTTTTTTACTCAATATGTATTTGACTATTTCTTCTATTTCGCATTTCTTTTCGAGATAAAACTGTATAAAGTTGGTAACCTAATAACTTGTTTTTTTTTTTTTTCAGGAGTACAGGATTCATCGGGAATTTTTTTTTTCAAATGCACCTACTAGGAAGAAGAGCAATAAGACGGTATTATAAAATTAAAGTGTGATTTTTTATTTTATTTTGAATGGCGAAGACGTGCTCTCCCACAGACATTCACAGGTTCATTTTGAAGTATTAGCAAAACAACAAAGCTAATTCTTTTCACGGAACTTATGTAATTGCCCATTATACATTGTGATATAGCCTGGTTCCTTGGTTCGTTAGATCGGATTGCTTTCTCACTACAACCGAACCGCTCCAGAGTTCGTTTTCAATCGAGCCGGATCCGAGCGCGATTGCCGTGTTCACATATGCCCAAACGAACCGAGCTAAGGGGGGAAACGCGCCAGGTTCCGAAACAACGGGCCAGGTGTGAAAGCACCAAGAAGTGCCAACTAGCTCCAGTCTCCCCCACCTTGCCAGTATAAAGTGTACAGTATGTTGCGTTAGTAACAAAACAAGCAGTTTCTTCCAGGATAATGCAGATATGCCCAAACTGGTAGAGGGCCGGTTTGAATAAGAAGTTACTCAAAGATCTGTCTATGAATAATAATTGCATCTTAATGCAGGACCAAACAATGTGCTCAAGATGCAACTGAAACTTAAATTCAGTTTCCAGTTCTAGAAAAATGAAAGGAGTACATGCAGCCAATTATCCATTGTAATTGTTAAATAATATTTAAGTAAGCAAATACTATGTATTTAGTAATGCCTTAATAAAGAATCAAATATAATAAGATGTTTATTTATAGTGCTATATAGTTTTGTGTTTGCAGTATTAAATTATTGTATGTAATTAAATCATTATGTTGCTGGTATTTTTTCAGGTATTTCAGAAATAACAGCATCAGTGAATCCTGCGCTCAGTTCTGATCCAGATGTTGTAGTCTCATGTTCAGCCACTGGTAAACCAACTCCAACTATCCACTGGAAATCTGCAGAGAAAGAGCTGAACAACTTTAGGTTAAGTAATTCCACAACACTCAACAAAGACAGCTCAACCACCATTACAAGCAACCTCACGCTTCCGCTGTCACAGTTTCATGGGAAGTACGTGGAATGTGTGGCTCAGAGTGACAGCATGGAGAACAGCGTCCAAATCTATGTGCCTGAAGTAGAATATAAAGGCATCTTGATTTGACTTCAAGGAGCCACTTTTGGGATAAAATCTACTTATGAGGAACCCCTCAATCCCCCAAAGGAGGAATGTTAACTCTACAGCTACCTCATAGTATGCATTTTTGCTCATGACCTTTGTTCATATGAATTTTTGGATTCTAACCTGTGTGTTCCTTAAAGGAATCATGAATTTTCTGTCTAGTATTTATTTATTTATGTTTACATTACTGTATAATATTCCATTGCATTAATATAATTAAATATAGTTATATATATATAATATTTTACCACTATGTCAGAGTATTTTGATCACAAGGAACAACTATATCATGAACAGATGATATCCATACTGTAACTTTATATTTTCAGGCATATACATTTGCACTTTATGAATCGAATTAATGTACAGCCATGCACTAAATAGTTTTTAATTGTCGTCTTCTGTTGAGTCTGACAGTAATTTATAAATTCAGCTTGATATAAGTCTTGATGTTTTCCCACAATCCTTAATGTTGTACTTTACAGTGGTAAAGTTTTGTGTTGAGCAATGACAGTGATTTGGGGAAGAAAAACATAGTTACTCAATACAGATAAGCTAAAGGCTGAGAAACCTAGTTTTCAGTAGTGTTAAAGAAAGTGAATGTCATTAATGGATACAGAAGCTGTTTTGTGGTTTCCTGCATGAAACTCTAAAGGCTGCACAGCGAGATGACTGCTATTGTTAGTATTTATACTATTATATTGTTATTTGTTGAGTAAGTGTATTTAAGTAAATCATAAAAGGATAAACACCTATTTGTGTTGAAAAGATTTCTGTGATATATTCTTACCTATGTATGTTACAGTATATTTATAACCTGTAATATGTGATTGCGCTGAATTAAAAATGTGAAAGTAAGTGTATTTAAGTAAATCATAAAAGGATAAACACCTATTTGTGTTGAAAAGATTTCTGTGTGATATATTCTTACCTATGTATGTTACAGTATATTTATAACCTGTAATATGTGATTGCGCTGAATTAAAAATGTGAACTGTTAGATTCAATGACTGGATTACTTAATAACATTGTAATACTCTGTACTTCTACCAAATGTGTAAACCATACACATGGGGGGGGGGGTTCGGACAAACACAGAAAATGTATCTAGGTATGTTAACTACTGTATGTGTCTATGCTGCATTTAAAGGGTTAGTTCACCCAAAAATGAAAATTCTGTCATTAATTACTCACCCTCGTGTTGTTCCAAACCTGTAAGACCTTCGTTCATCTTCGGAACACAATTTAAGATATTTTTGATTAAATCTGAGCGCTCTCTGAACCTCCCCTATACGGCAAGATAACTACCACGTTCAAGGTCCAGAAAAGTACCAAGATGATCGACAAAAGGGCCTTTCGCACCGCTTTCGTTCCAGAACTAAATGTACAGTACTAAAGTATTATTTCCCTGTACCATTTATAGGGTTGCATTCGCACCGACAGTGTGTACTAGGAAGTGACGTAAGCCGGTTGACAGCGACGTCATTTGTGCGCGGCGTTCAACAACGGAAACAAAGAAGAACAACGTTAATAACAGGAGGATGGAGGACGCTTTATTTCACAATAATGGACATGGAATGTCGACGTATACATAAAGCGATTGAAAGGAGGACTAAGAATCTCCAACGACAACTGGCAGTGCTACACTTGCTGCTCTTCAAATGTGCACTTCAGCGTCAGTCCATCTATCGCTTTTCTCCATACTTGCGAAAAAAGTTGACAATGCTTACGGTATGTTTACACAGCGTTTTAAATCATGGCGGTTGAGGGTGTTTTCGTACGCGTTTGGCCAATCAATGTCTATTTAAGTCACGGGTAGTATCAGTTGTGCTGGTTAGACCCTGCTCCGGAGTAGGAGCTAATTTGGTTCTCGAAAAAGGCAGTCTGGTACCAAAATCGCACCCAGTTCCGGCGGTGCGAAAACGCCAAAAAGTGGGTTGTTCCACAATTAGTTCTGGTACTATGAAAAGGTTCCCGCGGTGCGAAAGGCCCTAATGTAGTCCGTGTGACATCAGTGGTTCAACTGTAAAGTTAGGAAGCTACGAGAATATTTTTTTTTGCGCAAAGAAAACAAAATAAAGACTTTATTCCACATTTGCGTCTCTACTGCGTCACTTGTGGACGCGCGTTCACGCCGTTATTACACCGGATCTGGGTCAGCGCCTCCACACGCTTACGTGAACAACCCGAGGGTGAGTAATTAATGACAGAATTTTCATTTTTGGGTGAACTAACCCTTTAACACAACTTGCAGTATCAAACCACCTCCAGCGAAAACTGAATTAAGTTCATTTAGAGTTTTTGTTCTCTCAAATGACCAACTGGTTGTTCCACAATTAGTTCTGGTACTATGAAAAGGTTCCCGCGGTGCGAAAGGCCCTAATGTAGTCCGTGTGACATCAGTGGTTCAACTGTAAAGTTACGAAGCTACGAGAATATTTTTTTTTGCGCAAAGAAAACAAAAATAAAAGACTTTATTCCACATTTGCGTCTCTACTGCGTCACTTGTGGACGCGCGTTCACGCCGTTATTACACCGGATCTGGGTCAGCGCCTCCACACGCTTACGTGAACAACCCGAGGGTGAGTAATTAATGACAGAATTTTCATTTTTGGGTGAACTAACCCTTTAACACAACTTGCAGTATCAAACCACCTCCAGCGAAAACTGAATTAAGTTCATTTAGAGTTTTTGTTCTCTCAAATGACCAACTCAAAACTTTCAAACAGTACTTTGCTACATCTTTTTTCAGCAGGCATGTGGTCTGTGATTGTCTAAAGTGATGCATCAGTGCTGCAACTGCAAAGTTTAAAGGAAGTTGTCAATGCAGTAGAGCTTCAGACAAACTTTGGGTAGCCATTTTCAAGTTAGCCATTTCCTCCAACTGACTGAGCAAAGAAACATGCAGATCTTTCACCCGACCACTGCGTTCCTTATAATGGTTGTTCTCTGCAGTCTTCTCTGGCAGTGGGTAAGTCTCATTCAATTATTAACTAGGATACATATAATTTAAACTTCAAAATGTACCCTATAGTGCAATACGTTACTGAGAGTAGCATTCAGGTTATCATTTTTTTTTTTTGGCATATATAAATAAATTGGATGCATTTGTTTTCAATACAGCTTTTTGTTAAAGTAATTTTGGTGTTGATGTCATTTCTGATACAATCTGTATTTTTGATGGGCTATTACAAAATATTTCCCATGTGCAGTGACTGTGATATACTCGCGTGAACCGGTAACGAAGATGGAAGGCCTCAAGTGCACGGTGAAATATAAGATACAGGATTGCGACATTCAGACCAATTGGTGGTATATGAACATCCGTGAGTCTTTGCAAATCACGGATCCGAGCAGATATCTAATCACAGTAAATGAAACAGAAAGAGAGGAGTACAGGCTAAGGAACATTTTCCTGACATTGAATTCCTTGAGACGTTCAGACAGTGGCTTCTAGCAGTGTGATGCCGAATGTCTCAACAGTGGGACTCTAGCGAGAGGCCATCTCGTGCACCTCATTGTCACAGGTTTGAGCTGAAGAAACATTATTTTGATTCTTAATTCTTGTATGCTGCAATACTCTTGTATGTGACACATGCAACTTTTTCTACAGCTGAGCCGTATAAAGGTCTGAAGTTCTCAGCATGGAGCGGCCAGTTAAAGGCAGACGCAGCTGCGCTAGCACTCAGTGCTGTATTATTAATATTATGGTGTTATTAAATGACATTGTGTTTTCAGTATGGAGCAATACAAGGTATCAACATATGAAATGCACTGTTATAAATCCACTGGTGTGACCAACTGTACTTTTATTGTATTCTAGACTTGATCCAAAGTCTTGGATAAGTGCTTCAGGTAAAACATAAAACAAACTCTACTTAGACATGAAAAAGCATGCAGATTTACAGTCGTGGCCAAAATTTTTGGCAGTGACAAATTGTGTTTTGCAAAGTTTGCTGCTTCAGTATTTGTAGATTATTTTTCCACGTTTCTATGGTATACTGAAAAACAATTATAAGCATATCATAAGTTTTAAAAGCTTTTATTGGCAAGCAAATATAATGAGTCAATATTTACGGTGTTGACCCTTGTTCTTCATAACCACCACAATTCGCCCTGGCATGCTGGAGATTAGCTTCTGGGTCAAATCCTGACTGATGGCGATCCATTCATGCCTTAGAGCTTGAAGTTGATCACAATTTGTGGGTTTCTGCTTGTCCACTCACCCTTTGGAGGATTGACAACAGGTTCTTTATGGGACTGAGATCCGGGGAGTTGCCTGGCCACGGAGCCAAAATTTCAAATGTAATTATCTTTGAGCCACTTCTTTAAATCACTCTTGCTTTGTGACATGGTGCTCCATCATGCTGGAGATCATCACCAAATTGCTCATGGATCGTTGGAAAAAAGTCACTCTTGCAGGACGTTTTGATACCATTCTTTATTCCTGGCAGTGTTTTTGGGCAGAATTATGAGAAAGCCCACTCCCTTGGTTGAAAAGCAACCCCACACATGGATGGTCTCAGGATGCTTCACTGTTGACACAACACAGGACTCATGGTAGCATTCACCTTTTCTCCTATGAACAATCGATGTTCCAGATGTCCCTAACAGTCGGAAGGGAGCTTCAGAGAAAATAACTTTGCACCAGTCTTCTGTGGTCCAATCCTTGTGCTTCCTGCATAATTTCAGTCTGTCCTTGACGTTTTTCTTGGAGAGAAGTGGCTTCTTTGCTGCCCTTCTTGACACCAGGCCGTTGTCCAAAAGTCTTGGCCTCACTGTGTATGCAGATGCTCTCACACCAACCTGCTGCCATTCCTGAGCAAGCTCTGCACTGGTGGTGACA